GGATCCCGTGCCTTTTTGATGGCTATCTACCGACACACAAGATGTCAACAGCATTTTTTGCTGCCGCAATTGCAGCTGCGCGCGTTCTTTTTCCAAGGACCATTGTTGTCGGGCAGGGGAGGGAAGAAAACCTGCTGTCTCTTCCTTCCTCGGTTGCCTCACCCTTCCTCGTTTGGTATGAAAAGTGTTCATGCCAAGCTCGGATTTAGAAGATCATAGTTCTCAGGAGGAAGGCGCGCCGTTTACCGAAGAGCCTGCCAAAAAGGAAATGCGGGAATTATCAAATAGTTGACGTAGGGGGGAGGTCGTTGTACATACATTTAGCACACAGGAAAATTTTTTTTCGGGGGAGGGGCACACGCAAGAAATGATTGAACCGACCACGCACACCCGTGTGCCTCTTTGTGACATTCACAGGCAGAATTCTCCCGTGGCTGCGGGTATTTTCAGAACATGGTTGAAGAAAGGCAGGACTTTTTGGTCTTCTTGTGATCGCTTTCTCGCCTTTTGGGAGCTCCGATAGAGACCCTAAATGCCCTACAAAGAGAATTACAACCCCCCACAATGCACAAAATCTTGGCGTCCACCGCTGCTAGGACCTCCAGAAAGACAGTTCAACCATGATCTCCGAAAAGGACGCACAATTTGTGTTGAAAATGTCTTTAAATGTCCTGGAAGCACTGTATGTGTCACCCTTCGATTAACGACTCGCACTAAACCGCACTGTAGCGCTTCACGCGGAAAAAAATAAATTTGGGCGGGGGTCTTCCGGCAATGCTTTTCCTACAAAATGACAGCAAGTTCAATGGGACTGTAATTCTGACCATGGCCCAGAACCAGATGTTTTCATGAGTAGTGCAAAAACGTCCGAGTAGAATAAAAATGGCTCGCGGCGGGTCCTCTCCTTCGATTCTATGCTTGCCACGGTATATTCAGGCACTGCGTAGTATTTGATTTCCCCACACATCCCTCTGCCCCTCCCTCCCCGTCCTATCACGAGACCCCCTGCTTTTCTCCCCCCC